AGGGCGCACCCCTCTTGGGTGGGAGTTCTGTCCCTGCTCAGAGAGGCAGAGGAAGAGAGGATAGGACCTTAGAGTTGCCCCTAGTCACATCCCTGGTGGATCTGAGTCAGACGGAGCTGGGAAAGTGGACCCTGGCCAGGGTCTCCATGACAAAAGGGAATGGACACTGGGGACTTGGGTGTCTTCTGTCTCTGGAGAGATAAGGCTGGGAGTGCAGAAGCTGGGGTAGGGGTGGGGTGGTCAAACAGACACAGCCTGTCCTCCAGGCAGCCCCAGGGCCTTGCAGGTTGCCTTACACAGATCCTCTAACACCCCCTTCCCCACACGACTGACTCTCATTATCAGATCCAAATAAGTCCCAAGATAGCACTTGCTCCATCCCAGATGCACTCTGCAGTCTCACCACCCTTCTTGCAGGGCATAGGTATTCCTGGAGCACAAGGGACTTGCCTGTACCACCTGCTTATAGGTTGCAGAGCTGGGGTTTGAACCCACCAGGGACTCTCAGCCCCCATGACCATGGCGGAGAGGAGGGTGGGTAGAGCAGGGTCCTCTGCCTCTCTCCAGCCCCTCAGCCCTCACACTGCTCCTCTAGGCAACCCACAGCCTCAATCTGGGGACAGGGCAAGCAGGAAGCAGGGAGGAGCCACTGCCCCCAGGACACAAGGATCTCCCCACCCCCAGCCCGGCAGCCTGCACCCCAGTGCTATCTCTCCCCAGAGAGAATGCTGGTGGCAGCAGCCAGGACAAAGGCAGGGCTGAAGTGGGCACTGGGGAGGGACTGGGGACCCCCCCACACACACACCTGCTTCTCTGGCAGGGGGTGAAGGGAGAGAGATCCATTCAGGAGGGGCAGGCCAGGGGACGAGCCTTGGAGAAAAGCACACCCACCATAGGAACACAGGACGCTGTGGAATGTGTTTATTTTCATCAGCTGAGAATGTGCACGTCTACTCCACACAGGGAAGGGAAACACCTGTGCACCCCCCCTCCGGCCCCTCACAACAGCACCAAGGTACAAGGATAACAGGGGTGGGGTGTCCCTCCAGCTGGTGCCAGCACCAGGTTCCTGGCCTCCCTTGGAGTTGGTGCATTCTCACGTGGGTCTTACAGGAAGCAGACAGTGGGAAATACCCTAGCAGGGCTCCAAGCCAGGCCGGTTCCACTGCCCAGCAATGTCCCAAAACACTGGCCCGTAGAGGCTGGGCCAAGTAGCTGCCCACATCCCACAGGGCGCAGCTGGACCAGCGGGCCCAGCAGGCTCCACACAGGTCGGCACCACCCTGCTCTAGAGGACAGGATCTGGCCTGCAGGCAGTGGGAACACGCTGGGCCTTTGCTGGGTGGCTTCCAGGCCCATCCTATACGCTGGTCAGCCCCAGACCTCTTTTAAGGGAGTGTCCCCCCTATGAGGGCAGCCCACCACCCCAAGAAAGACTCTGGCCACATCAGGTCTACAGGCCCGTCACCACCACATGGTCTCCTAACCCTTCCCAGCCCACTTCTGCCCTCGGTTACATCCTTGGTTCCTTCCACAGCGAAGCACCCTGCCTGCCCCTGCCCACAGTGACCAGAGCTCCGCTGCGGTGGATTCCCAGCCCTCTTCCCTGCAGCAGGGCACAGCCATCAGGATGCCCAGAGCGGGGGAGCACCCATAACCCCGCCGAGAACGCGGCAGAGTTTCGACGGGGGTGGAGCCCCTGGGGCTAAGGAGGGTGAGGAAGGCGTCTCTGGGCCTGAGATCGCCAGGAGCGTGGGTGATAAGCCGCTGCCACCTCGGCGGTTCCCACAGCTCCTCCAGCCACTCGCAGCCACCTCCCAGCAGCACACTGGGGGTGCATGAATCCACGTAGCCCTCAGCCAGGGTCCAGGAAACGCAACAGCCCCAGCCGGAATGTGAGGGGCGAGGGAGGCTCCTCCGGCTGGGGTGGAGGCGCCAGCCAGAAGCGCGCGCGGGCTGCTCACTGGCACGGCTCTGGCTCTGACCTGGCTGGAGGCCAGCGCGGAGGACGTCCCGAGGCCGGTGTCGCCCCCACCGTCGTGTCGCCCCTGCTGTCGCCGAGCGCGCCAGGTCTAGTGGTCCTAAACATTTCACAATTGCGCTACAGAACTGTTGAACTGTTAAGAACCACTGGACCTGGCGGGCAAGTCCGCAACACCTCGGCTGGACGCGCTGTGGAGAGAAAAGCCCCTCTGCCCTTGGGACCGAGTGCGTCTCCGGGGCCCGGGGTGACCAGCCCCGCGCCCTGGTCGTGCGCCCCTCCTACGGCCCGCACGTCCACGCTGTCGCGGGCGCCCCGGGCCCGGCCAGGTACAGCGCCCTCCGCACCAGGCGGCTTTGCCAGGTCTCCGGGGTCCCTTCGTCCGCACGGCTGGACGGCTGCGCTCCAGCGCCAGAGCCCGCGCGGCGTCTTTTATGTGGCGCTCCGGCCCTCCCCGGAGCCGGAATGCGCCCGCTCACGCTGGCCAGACCGGTTTTTCCAGGCGGGCAGTTTTTGAGCTGCGGGTCGCCCGGCGGGTCATCCGCAGGCCGGGGACCTGCTCTGCGCGCCCATGCGGGGGTGGCCCTGACTCACCGGCAGCCCAGTCCCTCCCGGCACCCCCGCCTCCAGCCCCAAGCTTGGGCGCACATGGGCCGGAGGCAGGCCCGGGAGACACCGGCCTCCTAGCCTGGGCCTGGGGCGTCTGGGCCTCCCGCTGCCCGAGCCGGCCCCAGGGCGTCCTTGGTAGATGAAGGCCGGAGCAGGCGGGCAGTAATCCCCTAGCGAGGAGGACCTGGGCAAACACGCCCTTCCCGTGCGCTCCCTTCAAAGGAGATCGTGGGAGGGAGGATAAAGAGAAAGTGAAACTGCAGGAGGGGTGGGAGCAGCCCTCGGGTTTCTGGTCCTCAGGCCTTTGCCTCTGTGGGGAGGAGAGAAGGGGAACCCGTCCCGCCCCGCACAGAGCCCTGCGCTCCTCAGCCTGGGGGAGGGGAGCCCCCAAATCCCTGCCCCAAGTTTTGGGCCAAGGTGGGCAGCTGGGTGGTTATAGCTGGGGCACAGGCTGGACACAGATACTCCTAAGGTGGCAAACCCAGGAGAGAGGCCGTTTCCGTGTGCTCTGGGACCGCAGGTTATAAACACCCCATAAAGTAATTGTGCAGGGCTTTTTGCAGTTGGGAAAACCAAGTCTCAGAGGAGCAGTGACATCTGGGGTTGAATCTCTCTCGGCCATAGAGAAGGGGCTACAGGCCTCGACCTCTGAGGGGCTAGGCAACCAAGGACGCTGGGAACCTGAGCTGGTGGGAGCCATGATCGTGATGATCCTGAGATAATCAGCCGTGGGAGCCGAGGTCTCCCAGCAGGAAACTAGCAGGTGAGAGAGCCACGCTGTTGAGGGTTCAGCACCCGGTGAGCTCCAGCCCACGCACATCCCAGCCTGTCCTGGACTGCACACCTCACCAGCTCTGCTGGACAGCAGCGTGAAGTCCAGCTCTGCGCTTTTGGGGACAAACCTCAGGGGCCAAGTGGGGACTCAACGAGCCTACACAGGGCAGAATGTGAGTGCTCCAAAGCCGTCAGGTGCCTGCCTCTCCACCACACCTGCTCCATCCCTGAGACTTCTCTGGGACTGGGCAATGCGTCCCCTGCTGGCCCGGCCTGCCTGTTAGTAAGGACAACCAGAGGTGCTGCCTGTGCCGAGACTCTGTCCTGCAGCGTGGAGGGCTGACTGGAGCTCGGCTGCCTGGCTGCCCAGTGGCCACATCTCCCACCCACAGCCCAAGCATCTCTACCTAGCTGGTCTGACCCACTTGGGGACCAGCCAGTGTGACAAGGGCACTCCCTGGTCCAGGGGTGCGTGGGCATCCCCACCCAGCAGGGTGTGCATCCCAGTGGGTGTTTCCACATAGGCAGGCTGGCACCTGCTCGGGAGGGTCCTGCCATGTGGGGTAATGTGAGCCACCCGCAACTTTCACAACCTCTGGCTCCCAGGCTGCGAGAGTTGCTGAGCGCAGCGTGGCCACAAGCAACAGCACTGCCCAGTCCCTCAGCCCCTCCAGGCAGAGGGGACACTGCTGGAGAGCTGCTGGGTGCAGGCATCAGAGTGGGCTCACCACCACCACCCCATGGCTCCCCTGTGCCCTACCACCCCTCCATAGCAGGGCTCTTGGCTCACAAATGCTTGTGCCCCTGGCACCTCCACAAACAGAGCTCCATTAGGTGTGGGGCAAAGGCCTCCTGGGCCCTGCTGTCCCATGTGGCATCACTGGTTGTGCAAGGCCAGGCACACCTGTGTCTGGGTGAGGCGCTGGTAGGCTGCCAGCTACAGTCGCTTCAGGGCAGGCTGTGCCCCAGGGCTATCTGGGGCCTGGGAACCAGGCTGAGGAGCCCTGGCCCAGCGCGCCTGGGCGCCAAGTGCTAGCTCTTGAGTAATGTATGTGCCCAAGCTCCACAGGGCACATGCCCTAATGCCAGGCCGTCTTCTCACACCCCAGCTCCAGGAGCCGCAGGTAGGTAAACAGAGGGGTGGAATTCTGGTGTGAAGAGGTGCCAAGGTCAGGGGAAGCCAGGGCTGCACATAGTAGTGGCAGGTGGCTGGGGGCTCTGTCCTGGGGCAGGTTCTGCCCCTGCTGGGCACCTAAAGCTTAGATCAGATGCAGACCTGGTGCAAGCCCCTGATTTCAGCCCCAGGCAGACTCTGCCAAGGCAGGTGGTGGCTGGGTCCGCAGGCACACCTGCAGCAGCCCCAGGCTGGCACTCTGGGCCAGTCAGCTCTTCCCTGCCTCTAGCAGCAGCCCCAGTGGGTAGGGGTGAGGCTCACTTAGCCAGGATGGAGTGAGCATGGCAGTATGCCGGCTGGAGACAGTGTTGGGTTCTCTACCACCTGCAGGCCTGTCAGCCCCTACCCAGTCAGCAGCCTCAGGTGACTGACTGTCCCTTTGGTCTCCAGGTGCCCTCTCCTCCCACAGCCAAGGTTGCAGCCCGACAGACCCACCAAGCTGAACTCTGGGCCTGGGAGGCAGCCATCCTGCAGCAACTTTATTGCCATTCTGCCCAGTGAAGACCTTTACGCTTTGTCATTGAGACAGCCTGGGGGACAGGCCAAGCAGTGGAGTGCTTCCCGCTGGGCAGGGCTCATGAGTCTCCTAGCCGGCCGGCCGAGGCAAGGTGGCAGATGGAGGAGTGGCTCACGTTCAGCAGGACACTGCAGGTCAGGTGCTAGGCAGTGCTTCCTGGGAACAGGTGGTCTCAGAACTGCCGGCCCAGAGGTACCTGGATGCAGGGCTCTGCCGTGCCCCCTCCCAGGCCCTGTGTTCTGGCCCAGCCAGCCCTGAGAACCCCGCAGTGGGACTCACTGGGCTTGCAACCCCCAGGCTCCGCAGGAGGGCCACCACCTCCAGATTCCCAGCAGCTTCTGCCTGTGGGGGAACATAGGGGCTGCTCAGGACCAGAGGCCCCTAAGACACCCTGCCCTCTCCCTTACTTCCAGCTCATGCACTCAGGGGCGGGGGCCCACGTCCCTCCACAGTGCCAGGCCTGGGGTCTGAGAAAGGGAAAGGAGATTGTTCCCAGAGCTCCTTGTAGAGAACAGCAGGGCAGCAAGGGGCAGGGAGCAGGACGTCCTGGAGGCGAAGGTCTGGGGAAGGCGCAGGAAGTGGTGCACTCACGACTTGCAGAGCGCTGCGCCCGTCATAGCCCGGCTGCTCCAGGTCAGCCCCGGCCTGCCACCAAGCCTGCAGGCCTTTCGTGTCTGCCCTGGATGCCAGCCTAGGGGTGGGGGAGCTGTCAGGCCTGCTGGGCACCATCCACATGTGTGCCCCTGCTGCCACTCCGGGTTCCACACCGCCTGCGCCAAACAGCTGATCTAGCAGCACCCTGCCCGGAGGCAGGAGTCTCCCTAGCAGCTGCTGGGGCCTGGAGTCTGGTTTCACTAGTGGGTGTGGCCGTGACTCAGGTGGAGGCAGGCATGTGGGCACATGGGGTACAGCACAGGACCATGCATGCGCGCGCGCGCACACACACACACTCACTTGCCCAGTGCCCCCATAGCTGCATTTCATAAGGGCCCAGTGTGGGGACCCCAGCAAAGGAAGAGGGAGACAGGAGGTACAGTGGCCCTGCAGACAAAATGGGTCCTTGTCCAGAGGGCGGGGCTGGCTGGCCTGGAGAAGAGATGTCAGGACCTTGGAGCCCACCCCAGGGCTGGCCAAGGAAGGACAGGCCCCGTCCGGCCCGATGACTCCCTCCTCTTCTGTCTGTCGTGGTTCCATGCTGGCACCCAGCAACTTCTGGGTGAGCCACACTGGGGGGCACCTCCCAGACCCCACCCCAAACGCCTGCACAGCAACCCCCACTGCACCCCTCGGCAACCCTCTGAAGCAGGGTTCCCGATGATGGGCTCTAGCTCTGGCTTCTGCACACCTGGCTATGCCTCAGCTTCTTTGTCTGTCAGCGGAGCCACCTAGGCCTGCCTAGAGTATAGCCTGGGGCCAGATGAGGGGCCTGGCTGGTGCCAGGGTATCAGCGGCCTCCCCTGTGGGGCAGGCTCCTCACTCCTCTTGCCCACCCCTCCTTCCCAGCCAGTCTAATTCCAGTGGTTGTCCACTTTCTGGCCTAGGGCCCCCGGCTACAGGGACAGCAACAGGGGTACTCGGTACCTGGTGCAGGGGTCTGCCACTTCTGCTTCGCGTAACTCCCCTACCTGCTTGAGCCCACATGCAGCACATGGTCACCACACATTCCCTTGCTGGGCAGTCCTCTCAGCCAGGAGGGACCCAGGATGTGCATGAGGGGATATGGGCTGTCCTGCTTCGGCCCCCGTGCCCTGGCCAGCTCAGCCCATCCCTTGCAGCATGCCTGGCTTCCTTCCTCCAGGTCTGGCCCACGCTAGCCACCCTCACCTGCACAGCTCTGTCCCTGTGTCCTCTAGGTCCTGGGGAGTCAGGCAGGCCCCAGCCATCCGCAGCAGCCCAATGGTGCCCTGATGCCTATGGTGAGAAACGGTGCTTGTCAGTGCGGGCCACAGACATGGCTCTCACGCAGGCCCATGCAATGCACCCTTCTCCAGGTCCCACCACCTCTATGACCTCAGGCCCAGGCTGGCCAGGCAGCTCCCTCCATGCAAACCACATGCCCAGGTGGTGCCTCTGGCCCATCCCAGGGACAGCACCTGGATGGCAGCCCTCACCTGAGCCCTGCTGCCCTGGAAGCTGTGATCACTCACCCCAGAGCCAGCTCCAGGTAGACCCAGGACTGACTGCCCTGGAGGGTAGGGGACAAGGCCCTGCAGATGGATGCCAGCAGTGGGTCAGCTGTCGGACACCAGGCTGGGACCCAAGCTGTGGCCCATGGTGGCTCCTGAGCCAGCCCTCCAGGGCATGTGTCCAGGTAGGGCCGGGATATAAGTGGGGCTCCGCAGGCCAAGGGCAGGTATGCCCAGGCAGTGGGGCGACCTGACTCCACTGCCTCACAGAGTACATGTAGCTCACATGGCCACCCTACTTTTAGGGAGCTTGGGCAGCAGAGCTCTCAGGGTGGCTGGGTGCCCCGACCTCTCCAGCCAGCAGGGCCAGGCAGGCAGCCGGGGAGGGGTGGGGTGCGCTTATCTCATCTCCTTGCCACTTGCCCACACCCAACGATGCCCAGGTGTGGATCTGCAGCCCACTTCACCCCAGCTGCCTCAGGGGTCAGTCCATAGCCCTTCCTGCTATCCTGGAAGTCCGGGCTGTTCCTCAAGAAGGTTAGTCCTTCCCAGGGACATGGCCCAGCAGAGCTGGCCCTGGACCCCTGGCTTCAGGGACAGGTCTGTGGAGCTCAGGCAGGCTGAGGACATGGTGGTTAGCCAGACAGCTGATGGTGTCACTAGGCCAAGGCGGCCTCTTCACCAGAGCAAGTAGAGGCTACAGGTGGGGACTTAGCCAAATGACAGTCCCAACTTGCCACACACCCACACACACTCCCAAGGATGTGGAGACTCGTTCTGCCCTTGATGCTGCTTGGGTCGGGGATGCCCATGGGGCCCTCCTGCCCAGGCCCTCTGGTGGCAACGAACCTCCTTTCTGGCATCCCAGGGCCTGTGGATGAGCAGGCAGGCAGGCAAGGCAGGGACTCACTGTGATGGGACCCCCCCCTGCTGTGCCCACAGGCTCTGCGTCTCTGGGGACCTGAGCACATGACAACTATCTACCTGCTTGCCCATGCCAGGTGCCCCAGGAGCTCTTGTGCGTTGCCAGTGGCTCTCCTTTTCTAAACCTGGGCCTGTCTGGCTCAGCTTATAGGTCACGTCCTCCATATGGCCGTCCTGGATCACCCCCCAAGTCAGGCCACCTGGTTTCTGCTCAGGCCAAGCAGGTTTCCTGCCCACACATCTGCTGCAGTGTCCAGCCCAGGTACCTGCCCCGCACAGCCAACAGGAGTGGGCTGAGGCCATCCTGGTCACGGGCATCCACATCTGCGCCTCTGTGCAGCAGCATGGTGACCACACCCTCTTGTCCCCTCCGTGCAGCTACATGCAATGGGGTCTGGCCGTTACAGTCCTCCAAGCACAGGTCACTGTCCTGGGAGACATGAGGGCATGCACCAGTAAGAGAGGACTGAGGAGAGAGGACAAGAGCTGCCAAAAGGCCTGGCCAGGCAGAGGGCACAGGAGGGCTGGCGCTCCCTGCCCTTGCCAGGGAAGGGGCTGGTACCACAGGGCTCACCAGCTCCATAAGCGCCTGCAGAGCCTTGAGGTCACTTGCATGGGCAGCAGCCAGGGCCAGGCTGGGTAACATGGCATCCCGCAGCGCAGCCACCTCCTGGGAGGACAGCAATCCCTAAGGCCTGAGCCATGCTCTGGGGTCCTGGCACTCCAAAGTGAAGGGCAGGCAGAGTCCACCCCATGGGGAAAGTGCTGGAACCACACACTTTGGGGCCTCACTACCCCACCGAAGGCCTGTGCCACCCCTCGCCCTGGAGCAAAGGCACAGACTCATGTCCACCCTCTGGGTCTGTCTCCACTAATGGTGACCCAGCCTGCCACCCCCTTCCAAGTCCACTTCCCTTGTCCTTGAATGAGTGAAAGGGGTATGGGTCAGGAGACATAAGGGCTGCTCCACATTCCCCACCTTCCTGTATGAGCCAGTGCCAGTCACCTAGGGGCTCCTCACACCACCTGAAAGTGGGGTCTCACAAGCAGTGTGCTCAAGCCCCATGGCACAGCCTGATCACAGAGCTGCTGGCAGCTGGCTGTCCCTAGAGGCATGAAGGTCCCAGGCCCCACCCTGGTGACAGGCCACATGCTGCAATTCTTCTCATCTGTCCTGCTGGCCAAGCAGGCAGATCACAGTACTGCCCTGACAGCTCTGCCAGGGACAGGAGCCCAGCAGACCCTTGGCACAGTGCTCATGCCCAGCCAGCCAGGGCCCACCCCTGCCCTCCTGCTCTGGATGCCCAGGTGGGGGGGGGTGCTCAGAGGAGGGACCACTTGTAAGGGGTGCTGCATGGTGGGTGCCACAGGATCAGAGCCTAGAGACGCCAGTCTTGATGCCTCACACCCATCCTATTCAGGGGCACCTATACCCCTGCCCCCTGGTGCCGCCCACCTTGGGCTCCGAGGGGCCCTGCGGGTTACCCCTGCTCCGAGCTCCAGCTGCCTGCAGCTACAGCTAGAGCTGAATGACAGTAGCCATGGGCTGGCTTGTCCCCAGGGTGCATGGCCCCACTGCCTCTCAAACTCCTGCGACTGTCCACACTGGCATACCTGGCCACCACTCAGACCAAAGAGCCAGGCAACACTGCGCCCCAGCACAGTGCCCTGCAAAGAGGACCTGTGCTTGTCCGCCACTGGCACTGTCATCTCCCCTCGAAGATCCTTGCCCAGCAGCTGGAAGAGGACACAAAGGCCACTAGGCTTGGCCATGCAGCTCAGAACGCCACCCACAGGCTTGAGGTTTGTCTCTGACACTGCACTCAGCCGCACCTCTGAGTCCTGGCCGCCAACTAGCAGCCCAAGGGCAGGAAGCCTCCAGGAAGGCCCTGGGCCTGCCTACCCCAGGACTGGAGGCTTCCAGAGATGGGGGGGGGGGGAGGTTGGGCAGAGACGCAGAGCCAACTGGCGCGTGCACACATGTGGGCCCGCGGCCCAGCTGCCCAGCAGCTCACACACCTTCTTCCTGTGACCCAGGCTCAGCCCTGGCTGGCCCAGCACAAACGACAGCTTGGCCAGGGCGGCCTCTGAGGTCATGTCAAAGCCGGAGACGATGCTGGCGCCTGCCTCCGCCTGCAGGGAGGGCAACAGGGTGGCTCTCGCAGCCGCCAAGCGCCTTCCTGGAGGTGGGGGTCAGAGCCGCACTGGCCCGCACCCTCCCATGCCTCAGTTCCCCGCCTCACCAAGCCTGATGCATAGCCTGGGGTCACAGGGCCCCACAGACAGTGACTACAGTTAACAATGATCAGGCCTCGCTCGGCTGCAGCCTGAAGCTCCTGCAGCAGGTCAGGCTTGGTGGGTGCATTGCCTGAGCCGAAAGTCTCCATGACCACGCCTTTCAGGGGGGGCTGCAGGAAGGCCCGGACCTGTGGGACACATATGGGCAAGTAGCTAAGGACCCAGGGCTGGCCCCATGCCTGCCAGTGCAGTACAGAGAGGCCTTGTGAGAGTGTGTCCCCCATAGGACCCCTCACCCCAGGGCGGCAGGCCCTGGCTGGCCCAGGCTCTCTATCCCTCCCAGCAGCAGGACTGAGTGACTAGTACCAGAGACAAGAGGCTGTGTTAATGGGCACCAGCCTTGGGCGTGGAACAGCACAGGCTTTTGGCTCCCTCTGGCAGTTCAGACAGCTGGGCCGACCTGAGTTCTTGGCCCTTCCCACACAGCCCCATATCCACATGAGGTGGTGGGAGGACCACAGGGCAGTGCCCACCATTCCACCAGGAGGGCCCAGTCAGAGGCAATCAGAGGCGCAGCAGGTGGATTCCAAGTGGGGGTGTAGGAACATGGGGCAGCCTGGGGTGCAGGGCAGGGCAGGCCTACCAGGGAGGCAGGGATCCCAGGGTACAGACGCAGTATCCCCACATTGCGTTCCATGCTGCTGTGTACCACCAGTGCATCCTTCCCATTGGCTGTCCGCACCAAATCCTGGGCCACTGAAGACAGGTACTGGGTGTGGGCCCCTCTCTCCCTGACTCCCTCCAAGCCCTACTTGCTGGGCCCTGCCAAGCTCTGGGGTAGGCCCAGGGGAGAAGGGGTGCAATGTCCACACCGTGGTGACATGGTGGCCTGGAGGGGAGCCAGGAGGCCTGGCTGAGCCTGGCAGCCCACACGGGAGGGTACAGGGAGAGAATGGCCGTCCAGGCAGATGCCACAGCAGGGGCAAGTGGTCTGTGGGCCAAGCCCTGGGTCCCCCACCAGCCAGCCTCACTGTCCCTCACCAGGCACCACTGTGCCCCCTGCCCACCAAGTCGGTATGTAAAGAGAGACTCCTGGACTTCCTCACACTTAGGAAAAGAAGCCTCCATCCAAGTGACCCGGAAGTACTAGAGGCCTTGCTGCTCCCCTCCCCGTGCCCAGAGTACACCCAGGGCTCTGGAGGAAGTGGGGGAAGAGACCCTCTGGGTCAGCGCCCTTAATCTTGACTGCACAGAGGACCTTGAGTTCAGCCTGCTCGCGGTCAAGGCCCTGCTCTTCCAGCACAGGGCTGGTAGCCATGGGGGGAGGGGGCGTCAAGAAGCCTGGCCCAAGCCCTGCAGCTGCAATGCCCAATGGGGCACACACTGATGAGCCTCCTGCACTAAATGGCACCAAGGGGACCTCCAGGCCAGGCCAGGGAAACTGAGGCCTTTCCCTGGGGTTCATTATAGTCAGGCTCAGGGTGTGTGGGAGCTGGCATCAATGTAGGCCACTTGTAGGACTTGCACTGAAGTGAGGTTGGAGTGGGATCCCGCTACCCCTAAAGGGCTATGGCTGCTAAGGGAGACGGGAAGGAAACCTGGGCCGCCTGGTGGCCACCGCTGAGGACGAGGCTCTGTTAAAATCCCCAGGTCCAGAGACCAGGAATAGGGTACAGGGGTGGGGGAAACAGGCAGTGCCGGCCAGGCCAGGTCCGTGCAGCCTCATCCCCTGAAGCTCCTGGCCTGGCCCCGCAGTGAGGGCCTCTGCAGCACGTGTCTGGTGTGGCTCTGGGAGGTCTGGGAGGGAAGGAGCTGCCCCTGTACCAAGGAGGGCACCGGGCTCTGTGCGGTGGCACAGTTGAAGCCCCTGTTGCGGCCACAGCAGCATCCCCTACCCCTTCTCCATTCCAGGTGCCACACCTCCACCTGGTCACCGGGGTCCCCCACTGCCCAGAGGTGTGAGCGGTGGCAGGAAGCCCATGGGAGGTCCCACCACACTGCCCTCAAGCGTGCAGGGGTGGGCCTGGCTCTATCCACAGCAGCCGCACCGTGGGCCAAGTCTGGGGTTTCTCAAGGCAGTGCCAGAACCTGCCAGGCAGGCTGAGGTCAGCGTAGTGGGCGGGGCGCAGGCTCCCACACAGCTGCCCCACATCACACCCAGCGACGCCAGCCTGAGGCTCGAGTGCTGGGTCGGCCTCCTTGGGCGGCTGGGTGGGGGCAAGCTGCCCTGCAGGTGGGGCTGGAGGCACTGGGCTCTGCATGCAGCGAAGGCCCTGCAGTCCAGAGTGTTGGCCTTGCAGCCCACCCAGGTAAGGAGCTACCTGCAGGGCAGCTCCCACAGCTCTGGCCACAGCTCCTCCCTATGCTCAGAACCAGTGAACCTGTCTGCAGCAGTACCAGCTCCACAGGAGCTCCCAGGAGGCCTCAGGAGTGTGAGGAAGGGGGTACAGGTGAGAGCCGCAGGACAGGAGCCAAGGCTCAGGCCTGCCTGACAGTGGACAGGCCCTGGAAGCCACTGCCCAGCCAGTCAGCTGAGAACAGGCCCACCCTGCCACACCCACGGGGCCCAGCCCAGGCAGGGCAACAGGAGCCTGGGATGCCCCAAGTGAAAGCCAACACAGCGGGGCCCCTGGAGGCAGGCCCCGCAGACAGGAAGGAGGCTCGAGCCCCTGTGGCTGGGACAAAGTGAGGCACAGCAGGGCCAAGCTATACCTCAGGACCAGGGCAGGCTGGGAGGCAACTGCACCCTCAGGACAGCGGGCCCTCAGGGACAAGAGGGCCAGATCTGCCCCCCAGGGATGCCTCAGGACACCAGACAGACCCACAAGGATAGAGAAGAGTATGCCGCATGGTGGGCAGGACACATAGAGGCAGGACCCCAGACCTCTCCTCCAGGACCTGCCCAAGGACTCCCCACCATGCACCCTGGCAGAGCTCCGCCTGGCACCTGGCTCCATGCCAAGAGCCCCCCAGCCTCAGGCCTCACTCTCCAACAGGCTTACCTGTGACATCTGCATCCATGGTGGCCAGCGGGGGCAGGTTGGGGGAGGAGAAGGCCCCAAACCTCCGGGTGTCCACCTTAGTTACCCGGTTGCCCCGAAACAGCTGATTTTGGATGAACAGGCAGACCTGCAGGAAGGAAATTGTCCCCACGTCTGCCACACCCATGTCAATGCATGAGATGTGACACTGGGAAGCAACAACATAGGTTGCTGGCACTGCCTCTGGTCATCGAGACAGGCCACTGTGACATCTGCTTTATGGGCTTCCAAAGTCCTGTTCCTGCATTCCTGGGGCTGAAGCCTGGAGCCCCACACTGACTGCACCCCCTGCCTGTATTCTTTGGGCAGTCTTGCTAAAATGTTAAGGTGCCTGGGCTGGGTTCAAACTTGTGATCCTCCTGCCTCAGCCTCCATCAGTACTGGGATTACAGGCCTGCGCCACCATGCCTGGCTCCAAAGCTAAGCCACAAACCTGATGGGACCCTTATCTGCAGTCCCCCAAGTGCCATACCCACAAGTCCTGTGGCTCCTGGGGTGCACCCCCACCCTGTTGATTTGCCCCATGCCCAGGCACCAGGTACCTCAGGGATGACGTACTGGCCGGCCATGAGCAGAGCCCCCAGCAGGTTCTCCCGACTGTCACTCCACAGCGCATATATGGGCACCTGGGGAGAGGCTACTCTGTAGGCTAAGGCCCAGGCAGGTAGGGTGGGCTCTTTTCCAGCGAACCCCTTAGGACAGAGGCAGCCGGGGTCTGCGGGGAGGGGCAGCCCACCCACCTCAAGGCTGCCAATAGTGGTCGCCACACCCAGCACCTCAATTTGCAGGCCTGTCCCATGAAGGCCAGGTGCCTGGTCTACCTTCCCCACCACCCCAGGGGCCACCAAGACAGCTCTTGCCAAGCCCCATGCAGTCAAGGGACCCCAATTCAGTCTTTAGTGTGGCCTGGTGGGGGTCCAGACCTTCCACTCTTATCAGGTCAAGGTGAGAAGAGGAGTATCATGTGCCCGATCGCCTGAGCTGGCACTGATGAGACACAATCATTGTATGAAGAAAGAAGACGAGAGGCAGGGATGTGGCTGATGTGTCCCCAACACAAGCTGGGAACCCAGGCATGAGGCCCAGCAGAGGAGGAGAACCCAGCACCACAGGCTGTAGGTGGTTGGGCCCATGGGGTAGGTATGCAGCCTGGAGTGGAAGCCCAGGGCCCAGCCCGGCCTTGGGAGGCCTCTGCTCATGAGCAGCCAGCTCCATTACCTGGGCGCCAGTGAGGATGACAGGTTTGTGCAGGTTTTCCAGCGCGAAGGACAGCACGGAGGCTGCAAAGGCCATGGTGTCTGTGCCGTGGATGACCACAAAACCATGGTACTGCTCGTAGTACCTCTGCAGGAGGGGTGTGCTCAGGGTGGCTGGGGTGGCAGCCACAGAGCTCAGGACGGGCGAAGGGGCTTGGAGGCCCCCCATGGACCCCAGGCCCCAACACTCCCCTCAGCCCTGCACCCTGGTGGTTGGCTCAGGGCATCAGGATGTAGGTCCTGGGGCTCTTGACACCCCTCAAGGGCAGGTCCCACTCCCAGACTGGCAGCCAGGGCCTCCCTGGCAGAGTCAGTCAGGAGGGGCACCCAGGGCAGCAGGGGTGGCAGAGGGGACAGCCTCGCCATCTACTGCAAGGGTAGCATGGGCCCGGGCAACTGGCACCAGACAGGGGCTCTGGGAGGCTGAGCAGAAGTAGACCTGACAGGAGTCCCACTGCTGAGCAGGCGCAGACGGCTGTGCAGGAAGCCCCTGGTCACCACCTCTTAGCAGGCACTGGCCTGGGCTGTGGCAGCCAGGAGCACAGCTCTGCGCAGAAAGGGACTTCTGGCCATGCCAGCCTGGGCACGGAGAGGAGCTGGGAGCCACAAGGGGGCCGTGTGCTCTCGTGGCCACAAGAGGCCACAGCTGTAGGCTGAGAGGCCAAGGTGAGGCGCCCCGACCTCAGCAGAGCAGCCCAGCCCGGCCCCAAGGGAGCTGGTCCTGGCTTAGCATGACCCAGGCCAGAAGGGTATAAGGGCTGCCTCACTGCCGAAGCAGACCCCAGGGTCTCAGACTGTAGCAGGGGTCACAGCTGGGTCTGGAGGCCAGTGTGTGAACAGGGCTGGCCAGGAAACGGGGAGTCTGAGTGACCACGCTGGCTTTCTTTAGGTTCTGGGAATTGAGTGCAGTAGCACTGCCCGCTGAGCTAATCCCAGTCCTCTATCTCGTGAGATGGGGTTGCCCAGGCACATCACGAACTCGTGACAGTACTGCCTTAGCCTTTGAGTAGCTGGGATGACAGACGTGTGCCACTGCACCCAGCACACCAGGGGCTTTTAAGGGAAGCGGCTACGAATAAGGTTGGGCTGGGAGGGCTTGTGCAGGAGCTGGGACTGAAGGCAGAAGAAAGAAGGGCAGCCTGGCCATAGCACTCAGCACTGCAAACCGCTCGGCTCCACTCAGACCCCTTGGCCTTAAGCCCACAGCACAGCTGGGGCGGGGGTGGCGCTCAGGGCCAGTTAGTCCCCGGCAGCTGCACACGGCCTGCCCCACATGGCTTAGGCCAAGCCAATGACATGAGCATGAACACAAGGAGCTGGCTGCCAGACTGCTCCCTGGAAGTGGCCTGGCCTTGGTGCCCACCTACACCTGCGTGGGATGTGCCCGGGTGCAGTCCTGCCACACCAGGCGCCACACCTCAGCTCCAAGGGACCCCACTGCAAAACCTGCTCCTCTCCTGGCCCGCGTCCAGCCCTACCTCTATGGTCTGGGCTATCTCGACCCACTCGGTGATGGTCATGTCGCTGGAGTCCAAGAGGGGCTGGCACTGCAGCACTGTATAGATGACCCTGGGGCCAGGGCTGGCAGGGCTGCAGGAGGCAAACACAGGCTCCCTCTCTGCTCCTTGAGATCCAGAGCTCCCGGGCCACTGCTGGGGTCTCAGCACCACACAGGCTCCAGCACTCTGCAGAGGCCTCTCCTCTCCCTAGAAGCCCCAGGTCTGGGGCCCGTGCCCCCAGGATGGGGTGACAGTGTGGGCTGAGACAGTTTGTCCCCAAGCAGTGTCCCTCCTACACCTTCAGTAGGCATCTGGGACCAGCCCAGGAAGAGGCTGGCTGGCCCTGAGGACAACACACAGCCCAGCCCCCGCCTGAAGGGTGGCAGGCCAGCCTCAAGACTCCTGGGGCTCCCAAGAGGGACGCCCTCACCCCGTGCGTGGAAGCTGCCACCCTGGCTGTGGAGGGCTGGAAGACTGCAGCTGCCCCTCGGACCCACCCACCCTGCCGTCAGGAGCCGCACTCACGGGAGCACCAGGGTGTCGTCCGGAAGGCCCAGGGCCCGGGCACACTCCGCATCATGGAATGTGGGCAGGGTCCGCAGCACAGCAGCGAGGCCTGGGCTAGGCACGAGCACTACGGGCAGAGAGGGCAGTGTGCGGTCAGGATGGGAGGCCCCCTGACCCACTGGGTAGGGCCAGGCCAGGCAACTCTCACAGAGCAGCAGCAGTCCCAAGTCCAGAAGCCATGGCTTCCTGCCTCAAAGCCAAAGCAGATTCTGCACCTGGAACCCAGAGCACCACCTGCTGCTCAGCTGGACCCACTGCACCTGTGCCCCATCCCCAGCGCTGTCCATGCTCGGCCAAGCACAGCCCCAGCCTGTCTTGCAGGGCAGCCACAGGCACCCACTATTCCACCCCCTCCCCACTAGGCGCGGCTGGTGCTACCTGAAGGTGCTGCCCCCACCTCTCACCAGCAGGAGCTTCCAGGCCCAGCTCTGCCAGGCCATAGTACCCTTCTTACATATTGTCTTGCTGGCCCTTGTATCCAGCTGGCAGGGATTAACTGTGACTTCAAGTCCCACCCATGTCTCCTAACCCCAGCCCTTCAGTAGGAGGACAGGCCCAGAGCAAATGCTGCCCCCCACATACACAGTTCCTTGGGCCTGTAGCCTGTCAGTCTCACATAACGTGCATCTAGGAGCAAGCCAGCCACACGCCCCTCAGCATCTTGGAAGCGAATGGCCTCCCCAAGAGGAAGCACATCCTACTCAGATGCTGGCCATGCTGCCGCCTCCCCCCAGTCCCAGGTTCCTGGCCACTACAAGCATCAGCCTTTCTCAAGGCTAGGGCCAGGTTCTCGAGCCCACGTGGACTGCTAGCCACACCTTGCATATCCTGGGGTCAGCAGCCCAGGGTAAAGCCCACCTCTCCCTTAAGCTCCTGCTGCAGGCCCCTCTCCGCCACCAGCACCATTACCACTTCTGGCCTGGCTGATTTTGGCTGGCCTGAAGCCCCCTAACATTGCCAGCTGTACTCAGTTCCCATGGCCAAGTCAAGAATGGGCCACAGATTCCTTGGACTCATTCAGCACCTCGTTCTCTCTCCCTGATACAAGAAGTCAGGAGCCTGGCAGTCTTCAGAGCTGGCAGGAGCCAGCGTTTCTCTCCTACCCTCTCACCCTCCCATCTCCACCTACCAGGGCTGTAGCTGAAACCTCTCCCCGGCCACCCAGAGTGTCCCAGGCCTATTGAACTGTGTTTATGGCCCTGTCTCTCCTACCAGAGAAAGAGACCCCAGAGAGAGCACCTGAAGACCCCCTAGTCCCCCCGGGCCTGGTGCAGCCCTTGCTGGAAGAGTGAGCGATGCAGGAGGGCTGGTGATCAGCTGCTTATGAAGTATCCTGTGGGCAGGGCTCGAGGAGCACACGGGGAAACCAGAGCCTGTGTGCGTGTGACAGACCTGCAGGCTCTGAGGATGCCCAGGACAGGCCTGCCTCTATGCTCAGGAGCTACCACCACTCAGCACGGGGCCAGATGTCCCTCCCCATGTGCGGTGGGCTGAACATGCACACACGGCCCAACCCCAGGACCTGTGGATGGCGCCTCTCATGACAAGGCTACTGCGGGTGTTCTGACGCCTAGGAAAATGGAGAGGCCATCTTAGATTTCCTGGAGGGGCCCTACATGCTGGCACAAGTCCCTATAAGGGGGATCCATGGGGAGCCTCGACACACATGCAAAGTCCGATGTTCAAGAACTGTGCCCACTGAGGCATGAGCCACCTAGAGCACCCTGACCGCTGGCACTCTCTAAGCTCTTCCCGCCTAATGTCCCTTGCCTTCTCTCAGACCGGGTAAGCCTCCAATCTCTCTCCCCTTTCTTCCTCCCTGCCATCCTTTCCTTTGCCCCACAAAGTCAGATTGAGGCTCACCCTGCTTTTCATGCTTTTTAAACTCCAGCGCTGGCCTCGAAAAGCACCCCTGGGAAGGCTGCAAAGATGTTTGCCTTGTTCAGCAGCTTTTGCTTACAGCTTTGGGTCCTGATTGGAGACACCCACTGGGGAGCTGGCTGCTCTCTGCCCTCTCTCTGAGCTCCAGTGGGCAACGCTCCCTCTTCCACCCCCCCAGCCTGCCTTCTGAGAATCGGCCCCAAGCTGAGGCCCAAGCGGCTGGTCTTTGTCTCTACATGGCCTGGCCAAACTTCCTGCTGGACAGCAGCTCTCAGTGGCCAGGACATGATCCTTCCGACTTTTCCACTTTACAAAATGACAATTAATAGGAGATAAGAGTTTGCTTTTACTTCTTGGTTTTGGAATTATACTAGGTAATCATAATTGTCGTTCTTTTTAGCCACTGTCTGTGCCTTTTGCAAATCCCCTTATGATATTACTTTAAAGGGATGTTTTACTCTTGTGGCTGAGGTCTTGTATTCCTGTTTTATGTATGTTACATTTAGACTCTCTTGAACTTTTGACTCGCGACTGCAATGGGTTTTAATCTTCTTAGCCCTAAGCAGAAATAATGTTCGAGCGCCATCTAGCGCATTTGGTAAAAAGGGTCTTTTTATGAACTCGTGGTCACCTTTTATTTACCAGCTTTTATTTGTCCCTTACAGAATGCTAAAAGCAAACCTGCCAGGTTTCTCCAGTCCCCCTGCTGAGTCCCCCAGCTGAGCGCCCCCCACACCAGTGGCCAATGGAATGCTGACCAGATGGGCAACTGGGCTCCTTTCCAGAGACGCTCTCTGATTGCATGGAGCAAATAAAAACCGAAAGGACATCTGAGCGGTCACCACCTGGGCGGTCCCCCAGCAGATATCCAAAGTTCCCTCTGTGGAAACTAGCTCTGGAAGGCCTGGATGTGCAATGAGCCATCTCCTATTTATCGTCCCACCTCACTCCCAAGGAGGACCAAAGGCAACTCTCTCAGTGACTGCCGGGTGTCCTGTCTCAGGCTGACCTGTACTGAGGCTGCTGGAGCTTTTCTCAAGCCTCCACCAAGGGTCGAGCTACCCGTCTGGACTTTCCTCTCTCTACTAACAAGTTAGAAACCCAAACCTTCTCCTTCCCCTTCCGTCCGCACCCGCTTGCCTCCCTCCCACGCCTATTCCTCCCCGACCCCCTCACGTGTCTCCCTCCTGGCGCCACTGATCATCTTGAGACAGGGGCCAAAGGTGCCAGCCGCCCTTCTGGGCATCGGCCAGCCGGGAGTCCTGGGGGTGCCGGGGTGCGGGACCTTAGAGCAAACACCTGTGCCTAGCCTGCCCCGCCCAGAGCCCATCTGAGGCCACAGTCCTGGTGACACCAGAGAGTAGGCACAGGCGCCGCCGTAGAAGTCAAGATCCAGTCGGTGCTCACACACACAGCGGGACCACAGCGCCCGCGCACAGCCCGCAGGTCCTACTTGCTTCTGAGCCCAGCCCAGGTAAGAAAATCTCCAGCCTGCAAGCAGACCTCCTGTCCCACGCTGGATCGCGGGATCCCGGGGCATCAGGCCCCGCCCCCGCCCTGCCACAAGTCTCGGCCACGCCCCTTGGCCGCGCTTGCCCCTGTGCCCTCGCCTCCCCGCTGCCCGCTGCCCGCTGCCCGCTGCCCGCTGCCGGCACACGTGGCTGCCCAGCTCCACGAGGGAAGAGATCACGCCAGGCCGAGCCCACCACAGGCCGCCTTCCAAAGGCCACTGCCGCTCCTCCTCTAACCTTTGCTCAAGCGCTCTCCCAGCTTGCACTAGCCACTCTGCCAACACCCAGTCCAGACTGCCCCTCCCTTGCCCTCCTGCCCCTTCCTCTGTCAGACCTCTCTCAGGTCCACCAGCGCCTGAGCACTTCCTCTTCAGATCCTTAAACCCCGTTTTTTCCAACTCCCCAAAGTTAACTTTAAACCCCTTGATTAAGCTTACAACAACTGTTTGCCTTTAACAAGGGACAACAGCTATCACAAATTCCACTTGTGTTTTACACTTGCTAATTAAGACTGACATGCTTAAGATTCTCTACTGGGTACCCAGCAACTGAAGTGTAGAGACTAGAACTAGAGAGATAACTGGACTAAGAGGACAATCAATATTTTGACCCTGGCCTTCCAAAGTCGGCAGAGACCCAAGACATGGAAAAAAAAAAAAAAAAAAAAAACCTTTTCCATAGGATCCTACAACTCTGGTTACCCACAGGGAGACCGATGGGCCCCAGAAAACAGAAACCCACAAAGATGTGCAGTGTGCCTAAGGAGGCACCTAAACACGTTCTACCATGCAAGATGGACCCACCCATCCGGGCAGCTCACACTTAGGAGGAGCTGAGAAGCCCTGTACTGGTTCCAAGAGTAAAGCTTCAAGAGGCTTCCCTGACCTTGATAGAAAGTGAGGTCAATTTTAATTAACACAGGTCTCATTTAACTTGGTCTGAAACATCTAGCAGAAAAGTATAATAAAAAAAAAAAGGATAAACTTTTTTCATGGCTATATGCCCTCCAAAATGACAGCTATCCACTGTAAAGGACACCTTGGCTGGCCTCTCCCTTTGCTAAAGAATGTGGGAGACACCCTGCCAACAGCATGAGAGGGTACTTGGACCAGAAAAGCTGAATACTGTGTATACATTCCTGATCCTTCTAATGTCTCTATAGCTATTCAAGATAATAGATGACAAGTTAGGGCCATATCAGATTTTAAGTTCCCTACACTGTCTCCTTAACCTCTTTACAGAAGGCTGTTACTGGGTCTTCCTAGTAAAACACTCATTAATTGTAATCATATTATCTTGCTGATTTTATTGCTTCGCCCATGCTTACAGAACTGGAACTGCTTCTTTGGCCCAGTCTACACAGTGGCCAGAGATGCACAAGCCAAAAGCCAGGTCTCGAAATAAGGAACAAAAAACCAGGCCTAGAGACTCTCGGAGAAAGAGAAACAGTGACACCTGGCCTAATGGTCTGGCTCCATGTGGGTCACCTCGGGAGGCAACCCAGCCCCAGCCCCTCACCCCTGAAGGTTCTTCAGCCTTCTCCTGCCCTCACCTGTGAGAGCTCACTTCCCATGAGATCAATGCACCTCAGCAACTCACAGGCGGCCTCCCCAGACCTGGCCCCCGGGGTCTGCTCCCCTTCCCTGGCTCCTCAGCTGTCACTCCAGATCACAACCCCTGGCCAGCGCCAACACACTACTGGGTCAGACTCCCCGCGGGCTGAAGCCAATCGCTGCCGCTCCAACTCGGCCTTCCTGTGCCTCTCAGCCCCGCAGCACTCCAGGTCCCCCACACGCCCTTCATGTTCTGTGCCCTTCCACGGCCCGAGACGCAGCCCTCGGACTGGAAAGGCGCCTCTGACTACTCATGTGTTCAAGACCTTCCTGCCTGGTGCTGCTCGCCTTCTTTCAAGCCCTGTATGCAAGCCGCTTCTCTGCATTCCCTACAGATGGGCATTCACCCTCGCGGCCGGCACCAGGCACGGAGAATTCCACGCGCCGGGGCGTTGCCTTCACAGCCTGCTGCCCTGCAGTGGTCGCTCAGCCAGGGGGCCTCGGGGCTGCTTCTGAGCGGTCCCGCCAGGCCGCGGAAGGAGACGGGGTGGAACTGGGCTCGCCAAGGAGGGCGCACCAGAGAAAGGCACGTGGCCCGGCCGGCAGGCGCAGGGTGGGCTCGCCGAGCTAGCTCAGCGCGGCGGCACCCAGCCGAACTTACCCCCGCGCTCGCTGCGCATACCCAAGGTGCCGCCGGTGTAGACCACCAGCAGCTGCCGCTCGGAGCCCGGGGCGCGCGCCATGGCCAAGGAGGCCAGTGCTTGGGGCCGGGCCGGCCCTGGGCCCGAGGGCAGCGGGGCGGGGCCTGCGGGCGGCCGGGGCGGGGAGAGGGCTCTGCGCCCGCCGGTGGGGCTGGGTGGCGCGGGGCGGCGCGGGACGCTCAGTTCTGCCCCTCGCTCTCAGGGCTGCAGGTTCCCGGGCTCCGGCCCGTTGCACCGGCCTCTGGCGGGCGGTTCGTGGCGGGCGCAGCCGGCGAAGCAAAGCTGATCGCCTGGTAGGGGGACTGGCGGATCCAGGGCCCCTCCGGAACACGCCCTCTCCGGCGCCTCCTCCCGCAGAGCCGGAAGCTCGAGCCGGACCTCAGCCAGAACCCCAGCCGCAGGGCGAGGGGGCGCCTCCGACGGACCGGCCGCACCCCGCCCGCCGTGTTGCCTCAGTGCGGCTCCTCCGACAAGTGTCAGAACGCCGGCCAGCCAGTTAGGCGCGAGCGAAAGCCTGGCCCTTTGTGAATGAAGCTGAACCCAACCGCTTTGCGGACTCCCTTCCCGACTGAGCGAGAGCGCAGGGCTGGGCGTGGACCAGGCCCGGTGGGGGATGCGGGCACAGGGACCCCTCTGCCTCGCGGGCTCGGCTCTCACTGGTCCCCGGGAGCGCCCAGGGCCGGCTGCTTTACCCGCCGGCAGAGTCCTGAGGCGCAGGGCTCCGTGTCTGTCCACGCACACTGGTGCCCCTACCCGCGCCGAGGGCCCCCGCGTGCAGTTCTCTTGCCTGTGTGGGCCGGCCCTGTGAGCTCCGCCAAGGCTCGGTGGGACCGAGTCCCCCAGAGGCCGGCCGCTGGGTCCTGGCGCCGTGTGCCCCCGCTGCCCCCAGCTGCAAGGATCGGGAGGGGAGCGCCTCAGGGCAGGGGTGAGAGGCCTGGGTCGGGGCAGCCTTGGAGCCTGCTGGGAGAGAGGCACAGGGGCTCCCGAGCCCTGTGGGGCAGAGGCTGCAGCTCCCTGCGGTGGGCACTCATGCACGCACGCGGGGAGCTGCTCCTCAGACCTAGAGTTGCCTGTCCATCTGGAGGGAAGAGGCCACCTGGCCTGCCTGCGCCAAGACCTCCGGGTCGCCTCTGCCAAATAAGACTCCCACTCCTGGCTGGGCTAGTACCTACGGCTGGGGCTGCTCCCAGGGCCGCACCCCTTCATCCCAGGACAAGCGCGCCACTCTGCTCTACGTCTGCCTAATAAAGCATCTTACTGAGCATCCTGAAAACCTTCCTTAGCAGGCATCTGAAATCTGCAAACTTCTGCGGGTGGGTAAGCTGGGTTCCTTATGTCAGCCTCGGGGACATCCTTGGACCCAGCCTAGTGGCACCATGACATGGCAGCAGTGTGGCCACTGATCCAGATGAGGCAGTCACCGGGTAGGGGCGTCCTCAGGACAGTGTGGGCTCAGGTGAGGCACGGTCTCTGTAGCAAGGAAAGCCCCCAGAGAGCACATCAGCAGCAGGGGGCGTCCTGTCACTCCTGAGGGAGACCCAAGGGCCCCTGAACACTCACCACACTACATGGTGCTGGAACAGCAAGATGTTCACACAGGAAAAGCAAACTCTGACCCTTCTCTTGCCAGACACAGAGATGAACTTGGGGTGGGTCAGCCAAGTGTCCACACGGATAATGCTAAGGCCATCAGGGTTCAGAACAAAAGGTGGAAGAGTTTCTTTGTGGCCTCAGTAGACCAGATTGGTTATTAGGAAATGCTAGGCACTAGCCGTAAAACGAAAGTGATTCTCAGAATCTCAAACTTCTGCTCGGTGTGGTGGTTCTCACATGTGATGCCAGTTCTTGGGAGACGGAGGCTGCAGAATTGGGCCACACAGCAAGACCCTGTTGCAGCAACAACAGAAAACCAGTGAGGCTAAATTTAAGACCTACATGCGGTCATTAAATAGGACTTTGTGGTTATTTCTAACTCAGATATGACAACAAGCCACAGGCAAAAAAGCAAAACTACACACAGCTCACCCTGTGAGCATCTAAGGACAAAACTGACACAGTGAAACAAGTAAACTACAGAGGGGTGGATATGTTTGCAAATCAGTAATTATTTGATAAGTAGTGAACCTCCAGAGTACATGAGGGATTTCTGTAACTCAGAACACAAAATCAACTGAAATAAAAACAGGCAAAGGACTGGAGTAATATGTCTCCAAAGATGATATGCAAATGGTTAATGAGCTCATGAAAAGAATACATCATAGTAGGTGGGGCTATAGCACAGGGGAATAAGCACCTGCCTGGCAAGCACACAGTCCTGAGTTCGATCCCTGGTGCTACAAAAAAAGAAGAAAAGAAAAGAATGCATCATTAATCATCAAGGAACTGCAAATCAAAACCATGAGACACCATCTCACACATTTAAAAAAGTGCAAGGACATGGAGAAATTGGAATCCTTGTGCATTCCTTGGTGGAGATGTGAAGTCACACTCAGTATGGAAAACACTTTGGAGGTTCTTCAAAAATTTCTATTTATTTTTGTACTTTACGTATTTGGCACAGGGTCTCACCACGCAGGTCGGACTCATGGTGACCCTCCTGTTTTCAGCCTGACCAGTGCTGGGATTGCAGGCATGCACCAACATACCAGACTCAGTCACCAGCTCAATGTGTCCCAGGGCTCCGACACAATGTGAGCAAGCCTTGAGGACATTATTATGTGAAGTAAAATAAACCAGTCCCTGAAGGCTCCCTGTGTGCAGGGCCCAGACACCACGGTCTGAATGTCCTCGCACAGTGATGTGTTGGAAACTTAGCCCCACTGTGACAGTGGGGGAGGAGAGCCTTGGGGAGGCGTCGTGAGGCTTCCGCACCACCTTAGATGCGTTCCTGAGTGGGAGAGTGGACAGAGACAGTCACTGCATACGTGGAAACACAACACTAACTTACGGAGCAACCCAATACAACCCACGAGAGCACCTGGCAGAAGAGTACACTCTGCACGATCCCCTTTGTGTCAACTTCTGCACGTTTAGCAAAGCTCTTTCACAGTGAGAGCCACCTGCAGGGCTGCTGAGCACATGGAAGACATCTGGGTGGAAACACCCAGGACTTCAAGCAGAAGGCGGGTGTATGGCTGGAGAAGCCCCAAAACACACTGCATGTGCATCCCCAGAGGAAAATCTGACCTTAGACCATTTTAGAAGGGAGAAAGTCTCTGATTTTATGTTTAGGGGGAAAAGAAAGGGCACACGCAATGACAATCAATGCCAAAGTCCTATTTCTAACCCCAGTGCTATCTTTTAGTTTTATATCATCTCCAATCAAAAGTTACTTTATTACAGTAACCTCAAGCAGCCAGTAATACTACCAAGCAACAAAAGTAACCCAAGATCTCCTGAGACTTCCCACCCTGCTTACATCGGGCTGGAGTCTTGGTTTCTATCCTGCCGCGATCCCCAGAAACGTCTCTGACGGGTCTTGCCCCTTCAGTGCTGAGCTACTGGCGACAACTGATATAGTCTGAATGGTAATATTTAGGGAAACTTCATATTTGGCCACAGAACCAGGGGTAGAGCGAAGCGTGCCGCGCCAGGGAGACGGGCTAGATGGCAGTGCGCTTCTCTCAGTGGAGTTTCAGTTCCTGAGAAAGAAAGTGTTCCTTAGACAAAGAGGTTCACTGAAATCCAAGCAAATAGCTCACCACGAACATTTTCAGCAGAAAATCTCCTGTGAGAGACAGCCCGCCACTTCCTAATTACAAGCCTTCCAAAGTACAGTCTAATTTCAGAGTGCCTCAAGCCTTTGTCTGTGGTCTTTTAACATTACACTAGCTCTCTGCTAAATGGCATTTTCTTCTTTTGCTTAAGAAAAGCTCTTTCAACTTCAGGTATTGTGATAATTATTCCTTTTTTTTTTTTTTTTTGGCAGAACCAGGGATTGAACTCAGGCCCTTGCACTTGCCAGGGAAGCACTTATTCCACTGAGCCATCTCCTGGGCCCCAGTAATAATTATTCCAACTCAAAAGTGAACGCAGCTTGGCCAAGAATACGATGCAAAGCAGGGCACTGCTTCTAACCCCTTTCTCTCCTGGTGCCATCTCGGCCTCCTTCCCTTGCTCCCTGAGTCCCAGTTTGGTGCCAGGGGTGGCCTGACACATGCTTTATATTCCTTAAGTGGAGCTTTCTGTGAGGCGGCAGAGAAGATGCTTCATGCAGGCTGGCTCCCGGACTTGAATCCTCAGGGCTTGGAGGCTTCCGGCTGGACTGTTTCTGTTTGCAGCGGAGAGCTGGTCCAGCCCGAGAGTTACTATGCATTTAGGCAAGTCTGAAGAAGTAGCTGGAAGCCAATGTCATGCCCACACTTACTCTAGATCTCTACGTGCTCTGTCCTCTGTGACTTGCGCTCATCCTTCTGCAGCTTAGCCCTTTGTTATTCGAATGTGTGTGACTGTAACTTTCATTTAGTAGATTCTGTATCAAACAGGAACTATGTTCAGCAGCTTAGAACACAGACCAAGAGACCAAAAGCATGTAAGCAGCGAGGCAGTCCAGCGGGCGCCCAGATTCCGCCATCCTCTGGGAGTGGCCTCCATCCTCCAGGTGCCCTGCAAGTTGAAGGTGGCTGCTGAAGCTCTAGCCACATCTGCCTCTAGGGAAGAAGAGCAAGAACGCTAAAAGAGCCAGGGGGCCCCTGCCAGCTCCCTGCCTCCTTTCAAGCAGCCTCCTAGCACTCAGCTAGCATCTTCCTGCTTCCACCCATTGGCCAGAACTAGTCTCATGGCCATAGCAAGCTGCAAGAGACCCAGGAATGCAATCTGCTAGGGAGGCACACACAGCTGCCTTCTCAGTGAACCGGATTCTGTTATTAAAAGAAAAGAGAAGAAGTACAGGATAGACTCTGCTATGGTGACGAATTAAAGTTCTTCAGGGTGGATAAATGTAACTGGAGCCCCTTTCCTGGCCCCCACCCTCAGTCTACCCCACCTCCCACCTCAGGGCCGAAGCCACTGTTCTAGAGCATGCTGCCCCTTCCATCCCAATTAGTCCACTGATCGGTTTTGGGAAGAGATAAAGAGACAGCTCACCCAGACTGTGAGTGCTA